GGAGGAGGAAGGGCCGTCAGCTGTGTTCAGCGCTGCTCTTTTGCAGCAAAATGAGGACTAGACACCAGGTCAGGTGCATGGGGCCAGCGGTGGCCTCAGCAGATGGTTCAGGGCACCAGGAGGGCGAAAGCATGGGCGCTTCCAGGGAGGCAGTGCACTGCAGGTCTCCCAGGCAGGGAGGTGGGAGGAGCCGAGGGAAGCTGGCCGGGGAGGGGCTGCTGGGGAGCTGCCTGTTGAGTGGGGACCAGGGGCTACCGAGCCCACCCTCCTCAGTGCCTTTAGGGGCCTGGCACACCTGGCATGTGCATCCCTCAGGGTCCTGCCCTGCCCTTGGGTTGGGGGCAGTGATAGGGGTTTTCTAGTAACCTGAGACCCCCCAGGCCCCTGGAGATGACTTCCGCCCCCAGGAGGTGACATCCACCCCCAGGCTTCTCACCATTTCCTCACTTTGCCTCCCTTTAGGATTGCTGTTTTCTTGCGTTAACTCGTAATGTGATTTTTTTCTTTTGCTTGCTTTATGCACCCAACCATCCATTCTCCATACTTCCTTCCATCCATGGGAGGAATGAATCACCACTGTGTCTTTACCCCACCCTCTCATGCTGGGACTCCTGAGACTCAGTTCATGGGCTCCTTCCCAAGGCCGTAGGCCCTGGGTGGTTTGTCTTGGAGAGGCCAAGGCCAGGGAGGGGTCTGCTCCTTGCATGGTGACAGCTTCCAGCCTCTTGGCAGCAGGAGACCACACACCCCGCTCTGCTGCCCCAAGCACATGCAGCTCCTGGTCTGCCCCAAACTGGTGTGCTGGGTGCATGTTCCAGGCTGCCTAGAAGCAGGTGAAATTGGATCCTGAGCAAATGCTTCTCCCCACCCCCAGGGGCCCTCAGGCCAGAACCAGCTCCAGCATGTGGTGGGACCCCCACCCCAGGCCTCCAGGCCTCATGTCTCCCTACCCCCGCCATCGTGGACAGGACAGTCTCATAAGTAAGCGGGCCTCTGGTGCCAGGGGCCTTGGAGGTGGCAGACACTGGGCATCCCCACCCTCCGTCCCCAGGGACGGAGCGCTCCCATGGCTGGCTGTCTCCACTCCCACTGCACGTGCTGGTGAGCGATCGCCCCTGGTGAGTGTGGGCAGTGCTCACTAGTGAGGGGGCTCTGTCCCCCTTAGTGGCTTTGCTGCTCAGGACCAGCCAGGCCCCCAGTTTCTCCGCGGGTCCAGACTGGGACCCTGGGTGCAGTCCATTCCCACCACGTGCATTTAGGGCCTCCTCGCCCGAGACTCCTCCTCCTTCCCAGGCCTGGGATGCTGTGTGCTGAGCGCCATGGCTGACGTTCCTGTCTCCCTGTGGGCCCCTCAGCTCAGCAGCAGGAGTGCTGTCAGTCTCTGTTGTAGAAGCAAAGGAGGAAGCGAGGGAGGACCAGTGAAAGCATGAGCACACACACACGCATTTCTAGAGACCTTTGGTGCATGGTGTCCCTTCTGCAGTTCAGGGCCAGGCTGATGGGGAGACAGAGTCCCAAGTGCTCTCAGAGCTAGCTGTGGGGGGACACTCACTCCTGCCTCAGTGCCCTGCATGTATCCCCCTCCCCATTCCCCTACCCCGAGGCCGGCAAGGAATTCAGGAGATTGTGCAGAGATGCGAGGACTTAGCGCTCAGGCCTTGCTAAGGGGTGGGAGCTCAGGCTGTGTGTCTAGGTCGTGTGGGATCGGTTTCCGTTCAGGTTGCGCTAACGGTGAGGATTTCTCCTTCTGTCGCCAGAAAACTCGCTTGGGGAACTGTGAATGCCGCCCACAGCGTACTGTTCCCACCTGCCCCCCGTTGTGTCGGGGCAGCGTGGGCCTGATGTTGGACTGGGTCCTCCCACCCTGCAGGTTTCAGGGACAGACTGCCTACTGGGGAGGGGCCTCGCTTCTCCCCTCACCTGGCCGCCCTCTCCTTCCCCATCGTCTCTACTGAATCCTGACACTTGCTTCTTGTCTGCTTGTGGCCCCTACTCCCCTCTGCCTGAATGTTCTTTCCAAATCTCTGCCTCCTTTTCTGTAGGAAGGTTCACATCACAAAGACCACCCTGGCGTGCCTGAATGGTGACTATGAGGTGGAGCCGGGCCATGGACACGAGAGGAACAGTTTTCTGAAAACTCATAATATCGAGACCTTTTTTATCGTGCCCTCACATAGACGAAAGGTAGGTTCCAGAACCCTTCCTGTGCTGCGCCTTCTCAGAGACTGACGGCTCCTATTTTCTCCTCAGATCACTGCTTCTCAGGCCTTGAGCTCTGTGCACACTGGAGGGTGTCCCCACTAACCTTGTCCCTGGGCCTGGCCTTAGCACGTGGGGAGGGCAGTAGGGGAGGGCAGGGGGACTTAACTTGAGGTCAGGGCCCTGGAGACCTCAAGGCCTGGGCCATCCTGCATCCTCCCACACCTCCCCTCTGCCTCTCATGTAATCAGGTTTGAGAACCCTCTGCAGGAAGTCAGGGATGGGGTGCCCTATGGATTGAAGGATCTGTGCACACAGGAAGGCTTGTGACCATCGTGTGTGGGGTGCTGGAGGTCACTCTCAAGAGAATGCGACCTGGACACGATATAGGGTGACTGAGCCACTTCCAGGGCTCAGGTGAGGGGCGCTGGGCTCAGGTGTGGCCCCAGTGCTCCTTCCGGACACAAGTAGGTCAGATACAAGGGAAAACTTTGAGTTTTGCTGCTTGGTGCATCCACAGTCCCTGGGATGCAGTGGTGCTCACGTGACATGGGGACCGTGGACGGGAGTGGCACTGGCCAGGAGAGAGAAGTGGGGCTCAGAGGGGTCAGGCAGGCATGGTGAGCTGAGTCCTGAAAAAGGGAATGAGTGTGCTGGCAGACTGCAGGTGTGAGCATGGCCAGGAGGAGGGCTCGGGGAGAGGTTTGGGTGACCAGTGGCTGTCAACCTGGGGACGTGGGAGCGAAGGGCAGGGGCTGAGGAGGGAGGCCTGTGGGCCACTGCAGGGATGCAGGAGGTTCTGAGCCGGAGAGGGAGCCTCGGTGCCCTGCAGGGATGCCACCCCACAGGTCATGCAGAATCAAGCACCAGCATCAGTCGTGGCTGCGGTTTGGGGGTGAGCGGGGTGATGAGGTCTGTACAAGGAGCAGCCCCTTTGGAGAAGTTTGGGATGAGAAGGAGAGAAAAAGGCAGAAGGGGAATCTGCAGGAAGGCCCCGGGGGCTCATGGGTGACATTCATCAGCCTCCTGCTGACACAGCTGGGCGAGGTCCATGAATCCACACAGGAGTCCGAATCTACTCCGGGATTCGGGGCACTTATCCGGCTTTCAGATGCCTTGTGGGTATCTGAGAGCTGCGTGTTTGGAACTGGGTTGCTGGTTCTGCTCCCTGCTGTGTCTGGCGAGCAGCAGGCCTTGAGCAGGTGGCTGTGACCTCCCTGCTCGTCACATTTGTGCTCCCTTCCTGACAGGCAGGATAGGATGAGTGTGTCCACTCACAGCATTTCTCTTTGCCCCATGTCTGCACAGATATTTCCAGGGCTGATTCTCTCGGACATAAAACCGGCCAAAAGGATGAAGTTCAAGACTGTGTGCTACCTGCTGGTGCAGCTCATGCACTGCCGGAAGATGTTCAAGGCGGAGATCCCTTTCTCCAATGTCATGACCTGTGAGGACGATGACAAGGTAGGTCAGCCCCAGTGTGCAGGGCCTCGGCAGACACCAGTTGGGACAGCATTTTCCCCGTATCCCCTTGGCATTGTGTCCAAGTCCAAACTCGTTCTGTTCGCCATACGACAGGCCTGTAAATCGGGAGATGAGGTGTTGGGGCAAGGAATAGCGGCTTTATTCAGAAAGCTGACAGACCGAAAGGATGGCACACTAATGTCTTGGAGAACCATCTTTTTCAAGTCAGAATTCAGGCTCCTTTTATGCTAAAAAGGGGAGGGATGTGGTTGATTGTTGCAGACTTCTTGGTGCAGGAATTCTTCGCTCTTGCAGCTGTCCGCGTGGGTCAGGTCATGGTGTCCCTGTAAACCTCCAGTAAAACAAATGGTATTTTCTATTCTGCAACTTGTTACCTTTATGTAAGTGCAAGAGTGTTAATATCTGAAATGATCAGAGTCTAGAGAATAGGCTTCCTGTCTATTTCAGGCAGATCTAATATGGAGTCAGATCTGTTTCTTTTCTGTTACAATCTGCGCTCCAGCGCCTGCCCTTCCACTCACGCCTGTGCCTCCTGAACATTCTCTCTTTCCCCGTCATTTGTGTTCATGGGTCTGCACGGCAGTGACCGATTGCCTGTTTCCTGAGGTTGCATTGCCACCTTCTGCACTCTTGTTTTCTCTGCCTTGTCGGTTTTATGCCTTTAAAAGGAATTTCATCACTTTTTCGAACCTTTTCAGGAAGCAGCAAACTCCTGCTGTCTCACTTGCAGTGCCTTATCCTAGAGGGATTTTTTTTTGTGACTTTGCTTTTGAGCTCATATTTGGGAAAACTTTATTTGGAAATCCCTTAAGAGCTCTGATGATGGTGGACTCCCTCAAGAAGATTGGCTTTTCCTCTGTCAGCCATGCCGGTGGCTTTAAACTAAATGCTTAGTTTTTTTTGCTTGTGGTTTTGATACAGGAAAATTGTGGGGCAAGAGGATGGCCGTGTCCCAGGTCTCAGTTGAGTCCCTAGGATGCGCCTTGCCGAGTGTGGGTCCTTGGCTTCAGCCACAGCTGAGTGAAGGTAGATTCATTCAGAGAGAGAGCTACACGCGAGAGACAGAGTGCAGGCCATCTGGCTCAGAAAGGAGAGTGACCACGAGGTGCGGGGTTGTCAGTTTTTACGGGCTTGGTAACTTCATATCCTAACAGGTGGCAGGATTATTGCAACTACTTTGGCGAAGGGGTGGGGATTCCCAGGAATCGGGCCACTGCGCACCCTCTGACCTTTTATGGTCGGCCTTGAAACTGTCCTGGCCCCGGTGGGAGGGCCAATTTGCATGTGATTGTATTTTAATAAGCGTAGATTGAAGCTTGAGGTCTAGTGGGAGATGAGTCTTCCACCTTCTTGGTGCTAATTGCTGTCTTTCTTTTAATGGCTGTGCCCTCCCTCCCTCCCTCCGGTCTCAGTTTCTGGAAGTCTCAGGTGGGGAAGCTGGCCCCAGATGGCAGGCAGGTGCAGACACATTGCTGAGGTTCCCCGGGGCAGAGCTGGGTCTGAGACAGGTCAGCTTTTTCGCCTTCCCCACTGCACGATCTCCTCTGGTCAATATTTGCTGATGGAGCCTCTCAGGGCCTGGGGTTCAGCCAGAGGGCTTCAACCTCCCTGCCCATCTTGCTCAGGCCCCAGCTTTTCTGTGAAAGCCCGGGAGACATTAAAGGACTCAGGAAACTCTAGTCTCAGACTGCAGCAGCCCGGGCAGTTCCCATGGTGGCCCCGTTCCCTGGCCTGCATCCCTGCTGTCTTGACACTTCTGGCCACCGGTCATTTTCCTTACTTTCTTGACTGCTGAGTTTCAAAGTATATGTGAGTTAATACATTTACCTAGAATTTGTAACAGGACAACTTTCAGGCTTCCTTGTTGCCAATATTGCCAGAGTAGAAACAGGGATTTAATCGCTGTCTTCTTCCTCCAGCGCCCCCACCCCCAGCCCTCTTGACTGAACTTGACCCCTCGGGGATGGAACTGGGGGAGGGGAGTGGGGCGCACAATTGAAATGCGTCCAAAATGCAGGATCAGGATAAGTAATAGTAATAATAATTAGTGCAATATTTTAAAAAATCAAACGTAACCCAAAAGAATCCACAAGGAACAAAAAGCATCAAATTTCGGGTGAAGCCAGGGCAGTCCAGAGCCATCCTGGAGCCCGAGGCAAGGGCTGATTGCCCCCAGGACTCCTCAGAGAGGAGGATTGACAAGACCTAAGGGTCCGGGCTTTTCCTGGGCAGAGCATGCTGACCGGCGGCAGGAGCCTGTGACCCTGGATTTAACCTGATTAACCCACACAGTTAGGGGTCTCTCCTTCGCTGGGGCTGGGCAGCCTCCTCGGTGTCCCCCACTTGGACCTCAGAGCTCCAGCAGCACCCGCCCCCGCTCCTAAAACGGCTCCTGAGGTCCAGGAGGAATTGCACACCTGGGCTCACTGGCCCACTTTCTCTGGCCGGTGTCTCCAGCCTCCTCCCCTGACCCTGTGGCCCAGGACCCTGCAGGACCCTGCAGCTCCGTCCCTCCCATCCCAGGTCGCAGACCTGCCTGCGTGCAGGGCCCCTTCCCTCCCCCACTTCATACCAGTGTCAGGAGTCACGTTTGGCTTCCTGGATTCCCGCGTCCTGCGTGCCTTTCACATGCCTGGCTTTGTGGCCTTCCCGCCCTCCCTGGGAGCACGAGAGGTGGGGTCCTGGGTTTCGTCCTTTGCCCCTCTGTCCCACAGTCTCCCACAGGTGCCCTGTGGGCTCAGGGCCCCCAGACCCCAGCTCTGACAGGCTAGCTCCTTCGCCCCTTGGAAGAAGCTTTGCAGTGAGCTATAGGGTAGTGGGTGCATGTGTACCTCAGGGTCTGCTCACCCAGTGATTGTTTCTGTCGCCTTGTGCCCTCACTCCAGGGTCCAGAGCCAAGCTCCTATGTATCATGGTGTTTCCAGGCTCCCTATTTGAGCTCCCTGCCCTGGAAGGGTCCCTGCTCGCCCCCTCCCCGCACCCTGGATAGCAGCCGGCTAGTACATCCAGACTCAGCCACACACTGTCTTCTCTGCCTTGGTCTCCGTCTCTGACCCCTCGCCCCATGGGCAGCCTCTGTGGGCCTGGCATTTCCTCTCCTGGCAGGGCAGACAGTGCAGCCTCCACAGGAAGGTGCCGTGGGCTGGGGGCCGAGCTGGGAGCCTGGACCTCTGCTGCCTGGCTCTGCGCCTCTTCATTGCCACTAGCCTTGTGATTAGTGAGAAAGAGTCCAGAATGGGGCTGGTAGCAGCGTCTGCAACATGGGATGGCATCAGGGTGAAGATGGGGCAGTGACAGGCAGGTGGCCTGAGGCGGGAGGTCCTTGGTGGTCCTAGAAGGATGGATTGGAGAGGCCGTGCATGGGCAGGGCCAGCCTGGGCATGTGGGGGGATGATGTGAGTGACCTGTCAAGTGATCGCGTGCATGGGGAGCAACCCCATCCACCTGCTGCCTCCCCCTGGCGGGTCTCAGATCCTGCTTCTGTTTTAGGACGAAGTCTGTTTCATCATTCTTGTTCCTGTCTTCCATTTACTTCATCTGCATCTCCAGGCCTGACAGCCTGATCGAGGTGGCCTTGGAGATGGAGCAGGGGAAGCCGGTGGGATCAGGGCAGTGGGTTCCCCTGCCTTTTGTGTCTTCGCACCGTGTTTGGAGAAATCGTGTCCCAAGTACTGGGGAGCGACCTGCAGATGTATGTGGTTAGCTTCAGACCACAGTCCCTCTTGGGTCCACCTGGTCTCTGGCCTCTCCTGGATCAGGGCTGTGGGAGCCCAGAGTGGGTTGGCCCCGAGGGGGCGATGCTGTGCAGGGCGCCTCCTGGCAGTGCCTGGGCTGTTGGGGTTAGGTCTCAGGGCTGCCAGCTGGGCCTTCCCGGACTGCTCCCCGTAATGTGCAGGGACAAGCACCTGCCGTAAACCCCGACCCCCACGAGCATAGCTTGTTCTGTTTCTTCCTTCAATATTCCTTTCTGATCATAAAACGAATTTATGGTGGAAAAAAGTATAGAAAAATACAAAAATGCACAAAGAAGACAATGAAAAGCATTCATTTACAATCCAACCGCTTGCAATCAATTTATCGTTAACATTTTGGTCTTTCTTAAGTGTGTGTATATTTAAACGTTTTTCAGTAAAATTGATGGGATGATACAGTTTGCTGCTTGTTTATTTTCACTTGCCAATATTTCCTTATCTTACTGAATATTCCTCAAAAATAGGGTTCTTTAATCACCGTGTAGATTTTCAGCCTAAGGAGAGACCACTTACTTACTCAACTTCCATTGGTATTTAGGTCATTTCTGGTTTTTGTTTTGGGTTTTTTTTTTAATCAAAGTAAATAATTCACACGGAAGTGCATTTACATCTCTGATCACTTTGTGTGATGGAATTCTCTGAGTCGAGTGTCTGTGAAAGTGAGTCTGTAGCTGGTAAGACAGTGTTAACCTGTAGCAGCAGGTGGGGAACGTGCCTCCCCAGTGCTCTCTCTCCCTTTCTTTAAAATGCTGCTTCTGTCCTTCTCTTTATGTTTAAAATACCTAAGCATATCTATTTAAAAAAAAAAAACTAACATGTAGACACAATGCAAAAATTAAATCCCCTAAACTGTTTATCATTTTGTGTTACCGTCCAGAAGAATCTGGCGGTGTGCCAGAAGGTGATGGGAAATAGGATTTAACCTATTTGACTGTCCCAACACCCTGTTTTTTCACTCAGTAACAGACATCAGAGATCCTGGCGGCACGGGCCGTGTGGCCTCCGCCTGCAGACACAGATTTTTTTTTTTTCAATATATCTTAGTGAACTTTATAAGGAAAGCCTGGGGCAACTTCTTTGTAGTGAAATTGCTGCGTTAAATGGTGTATGTATTTTAATTTTTGATAGCTGATACCAGATCGTTCTCCCCACGTTTTCCGAGCCTCCTGACCGCCCAGCTCGGCCTTAAACCCGGGACCTGGTGCCTGCTGGTAAGCACGCACTCTC